TTGTAATTAAAGAATTACCAGGCTTTATTTTTTATTTTTATCTATTTCAACAAACGACCCTTATGATATTGTATTCTTTCCCCAAGTTAATTCGACCGTAAATTTGCTTCATTTTATATCCGGTGTGATTTGCTGAGAGTTTCCGTTAGTTACGCCCAATGAGTTCTGGGGTTACTTGCGTTCATAGAGGTTACTTCGAGTACCCATCTTGTGGAAGTAATTTTCGTTGGCCGCAGACAGTTGTTTAGTGTAGCAAAGGGGAAAACTGTGTTACATAAGAGAAGTAAAAAGTCAATTTTCTACGCCTTCAGGTGTTCTGGGCATATAGTAAGTAAACGACAATTTGTAACTCCTTCGGATGTATTGGGCATTTCAGGCTAACCTATATATTATTGACCAATCTGCACTGATTGGGTGATGTGGTCAGCATCACCCTGGTCGACTTTACTTCCTAGGACTTTACCTGATTATCACTCAAGGCCATGTCGACCTGAGAGCCAAAATCATTTTGGGCATACAGAACTAGACCTATATTTTACAGACCAAACAGCACTCAGTGCGTGATGTGGTCAACTTGACACTGGCCACCTTTACTTCCTAGTACTGTAACTAGTACCCATTTGAGGCTGGGTCGATCTGGCTTCTTTATGTTTCTTTCTTTAGCTCTGGATACAGTTGAAACGCGTAAAGCAAAACACCTCAGTTTAAATCTGATAAAAAGCCAATACGATTAACAAGTTTTTTTTTTCAGTATCCAGAAACCAAGAGTTGTTAACCATTTGGCTAGTTACTATAGATATCGCAACCCTTCGGCCTTGATCCCACGACACATACTGTAAATCCAGGAGGAATGTGGTTTTTCTGCCTACCCCCGGGCGTGAACTCCGCCCCCAAGGAGTTCGTCACCCGGTCGCCGCGCAGACCGGTTTAGCCAACTACGCTAGCGAGCCGGGCACTAACAACATATAATAGTCTCCTTTGCGAAAGGGTTTAGTCATTTTCCTGACAGTCTGTTTTAAATCTATCTTCATCATCATCATCAAGTGCCTTGTCGACTGTCTAGGGCGATCATGCCTCTCCACAATCAGCTGCGTATATCAGTTCGTATGTTGACATACCTTCCAGCCATGACAAAAGACTGTTGAGAATCCGATGTCTTTCTCTGCCTCTCTTTCGACAAATCTTTCAGTTGTCACAACATATTCCATTTTCAGTGGATCAATGGAGAGCATCGTTTGAGCTATGAAGTTCTTGATTTATGTGGCTTTATCGGCCAGCCAGACGTGCTACTAAGAAAGACCGAATATCGAAAGCTTTAGTTACCACTCCGGTGTCGTGTACTCACTGGCATTTATAATACATACAATGGTAGAAAAGTAGAGATAGCCGTCTTGAGGCGGCAGGGTAATTACTGACGTGGTATCTTTAGATTTCTATGTTGTCTTGTCTGCCCTCCTTATATATCTTTTTAGCTTCTGAATTTATGAGTGCCAGCTTATACATTACGCCGGGAATGGAGAGTGAGAAGCAACAACAAAACGCTAATTTGTTTAAATCACCATTGATAACTGGCATCATGAGAGCTAATAGACTGAAATGGTTGGGGCATACTGAGAGAATGTCAGATGATAGAGAAGAGAAAACGGTATACAAAAGGGAAGATAAATTATCGTAGATCACGAGGCAGACCAAGAAGAAAGATAATGTCCGGACAGACCTGCAAATACTTAGTCTCACCAAGAGGAAAGAGAAGGCCAGCCTAAAAGATGAGTGGAGGTGGGTGATATCTGCAGCAATGAACCTCAAGGGCTCGGAATGCTCAAGAAGAAGAAGAACCAATACAATTAATACGTCACAATACCATGATTTACAATTTGTACATCACACTAATATGTTTGATCGAAAATGAGACCTAACACGAAAAAAAAAGCCCTGGAATGATTTTTCAATAAGCATGTAACGTAAGCCCCACCCTTAAGATAAGCCCTAATAAGGTTCCTCTGACAGAAGACGCTTTAATTCGCACTGGATGTATTAAATTATAATGTAACTAATGTATAATTAAACATAAATAAAAATAATATTGATATTAATGCTTTACATAAAATGTCTATGTAGATTTTTGTACATTAAGAAATAGGACATCCCTAAAAAAAAACACAAAGACTTTAGAGCAGAAAAAAAAAAAATTAGGACCCGGTTCATTTTTTTCGAGGAAACATGGTATGATGCTATGTCACTTCGGCTTGTAACATTCTAAAATCGATCTTTATATGTAGAATGTTACCCCATAACTTGCAATAAAAATCCATCAGCAAATTGTCAAGTACCCAAATTTAGTTCACACAACAATGGCCCTATCACATCAGTTTCCAAATTGTAAATTATTCCTTTTTTTCCCTCCAAGGCAGCTGTGTTTCAGTGAAGCGGGAATCGGTTTTACGAAGCATAAATAAGTAGACTGATTTCAACCCTGCAGTCAATGAAGCGCAAAAGTCTTTCCATTTTTCTTTAAATGTTAGCAATTGCTCGTTCACTGGCTAACAAGAAGGACAAATACAGAAACAAGGAAAATACTACTTTATAAGCATTTACGTGTGATAATTTGATCTAAAGAGAAAGGATATAGAAACTTTATATATAGTAAAGGACCTTTTCATAGTATTAGTGAATAGAAAATTTAGGAGTAGACCCATCTTTTGGTTAAACCAGTCAGCACAAAGGCGCGCTTGAACCTGGGTGCTACAAACCACGGCCATCTTTAGCTATAAATCTGGTAGTTCATCGAATTCTTTTGCATGTTTGCAGTTCTACGGTCTGTTAGTTTTTGTAAACTGGCTTTTGCTTTGCTTCGCGAACACTGGCTGTAAACTCTTGCGAAAACTTCTGGTAGTTCATCGACTTCTTTTGCATATTTGCAGTTCTACGGTCTGTTAATTTTTGTAAACTGGCTTTTGCTTGGGGGAGGGGGGGGGGGGGGGTACGTAATTAGGACTCAAGCCTCTTGAAGCCCCCTCTTTAGCCCATAAAAAGTTTACTGGTGCTGGGTTCCTTTCATAATTACCCATCTGTTCTATTACCTGCATTGGCACTCGATAGGGGAACGTTGTTACGGTCATTTACTTCCCGGGATTTTTTCTGGCACTCACTGTGGGTTCACCTGAGAGCACTATGACACAGTCTCCCTCAAAGGAGATTCGAGCGTACGACCTTGTGTGGGTTAGAGGAGAACAGTCTTTCCCAAACTTGTTTGTGATATCCCCCCCCCCCCCCCCTGTCTTTCTGAAATGTGTGTCCTTCCCTCCCCCCCCCCTTTTTTTTTCCCTACCAACGTAATATCCTCATATGGTTATCTTAAATGTAAACTCTGTACAAGATCATTTTCTAATGCAAATCAAATTGCCACCGCTCAGAACATAATAGCAAACTACAGTTAGTAAAGGTAGTCGCCGTGGTGTTGGTGGTTAGACGCCTGCCTGCGGATCAGAAAAACGTCGGTTCGCGTCCTGATGGAGATGGACTTTATCTTTTTCAAAAATGATCTTGACTACCAGGTCAACCCAGTCTTCAGTGGGTACCAGGTGCTGTCCTGGGAAGTAAAGGCGGTCCGCGAGATGCTGACCACATCACCCCCCAAGTGCCGATTGGTCAATACAAATATAGGTCTAGCCCTATATTCCCTAAAGGCGTGGACAAGAGACCTTCACTTTACTGTTGATAAAGTTCCCTGGTAAAAGCACACAATGGCTATTACTTGCTGCATTGTGGTTTGCGATGTAAAGGCAGACATTTTACCCTGCAGTTGACGGAAGAGCACCGGCCTACAGAAATATCAACCTAATCAGGTAGCGGCTACAATACAAATGAAAAGAGAAATGGAATTCGTGTTACTGCATTGGTTGCGTCTCTCAGAAACAGCGCGCCAGTCGCGTATAAATTATGAGCAATATATGTCACACGAGCTAACTTTTTATTATTTTTAAAATTTTAGTTAATAGAAGAAAATATATCTAAATCTGTGTGTGTGTGTGTGTGTGTGCGTGCGTGCGTGCGTGTGTGTGTGTGTTTGTGTGTGTGTGTGTGTGTGTGTGTGTGTGTGTTTAAAGCGTTAGCCCATCCGCGAAATATGTGTTTTTGTATTTTCCAGGTCTGCAGATGTAAAAAACGTTTTTAAAAACGCGGTGCAAAGAAAATACAGCTCACTTTTTGTGAGTCATGAGGAATTATATAAGTTTAAAGTTTCCCATTTAACATTGTTTCTGCATTAGGCAACTTCACACACGCAATATGTTTTGATTTAAAGCTTTCCTTGTTTATACCCAGATTTCTGGTGGCCTACTAAAACGACGAGGTTAAAAAGAAATCACAAACCTTCAGTCATTCTAATCCTGGCATCTTTCTTTTAGGAAATCAAGTAAGCAGAAAATGCAAATAGGTTGCTCGAGATGAAATGTAACCAAGGAACGAGACAAAAATATCCCCACATTTGACTAACAAAAGGATACAAAGGACAGAAAATTCGAGCAAGACATTTTTACGCATTTACTACCCAAGTCATTTTTATAGAATAGAAAAACAGGAGTGAAATGTAAAAATGTGAACGAAAAAACATTGCATTCATCAATAATCGTTCGAAAAAGATTTGCTATGCGAGCACATCAGTTAGAACCCTTTAAAAATAACTGTTTTCTTCTCCTTTAAAATCCTATTCATTTTCCTCCTCCTCCTATTTCGTTTTCTTCTTCTTCCTCTTCTTCTTCTTTTTCTTTTTCCTCTTCTTCTTCTTCTTCTTCTTCTTTTTCTTTTTCCTCTTCTTCCTCTTCTTCATCTATTTTTACTATTAATACTACTATAACAACAACACCATCTACTACTACCACTACTGCTGCTTATGCTACTACTATTACTTCTTCTTCTTCTTTTTTAACCATCATCATCATCTACTATCACTACTTCAAGTTATATTTTAACTTTTATTATCTTCCCCAGGATCTATAACCATGACGCCGACAGTTTTCCTAAGCGCAGCTTTCTTTGCAGTCTTCATTGCATCTTCCTGCCAAGGGGACGAACTCCCTCTCTACAAAGCCTGTCTCATGGAGTGTTTCCGGTGCGTCAAGACATACGGAAAGCAAGTGTACAATGGGAAACTCTGTGCTGAGAACTGTGCGGGGTCTAATGGCAAAAGCATTGACGCTAAGTGTGACAGTCCGACAAAGCGTACAGCGAATAAGCCAATGGTAACCTCAAGCTGTGCCAAACTGTGCTCATACAAGTGTGCCCAAAACTTCCTTCCCGACAGCATGGACGCGCATGACTGCATACTTAGATGCGTCATATCCGGCGAGAAGATGGTCGAATGCTAAATTAGCATGCCAGCACTGCCTCTGGGTGCCTGCGAATCAACATAGCAATACATATTTTACTGTAACTTATTCCACTTTTTGAAAAGCAAAAGCAAAATCAATGTTTCTTCTTTAATAGTTGCAACAAAGAAGACAAACAATTTACCGCACAATTTCTTGATGTCATATATTTCGATGCATCAAGTCAGGTGCATACTACACTTAGCTAGTCAGTTAGCCAGTCCCCTTGAACATTGTACTGCGCATAGACCAGAGTTCATAGCTCTCCATGTCTGGCGGTTCGTTGTCACCTCTTTTAGGTCTTAGACTTTCATTAGGCCCATGGCTGAGCCTTTCCAGATAAGGGGTCAACGCAGGGTTTCTCTTGGTCTTCCCCGTTTTTCTTTCCCTTCCCTTCAGGTTTCCATATGAGGACCTAATGTGGGAGTCTTGTCTTATCCCCTTATTCTATTACTGTAGTATCAACACAATAAAATCAATCAAATAAATGAATCTGTTCAACTGAATTACAAAATTAACGATACTTAGAAGTAACTGCCTGTTTTAGCAGGGCTAATCGGAATCACTACCACTCTTTCTGGCTTATGATTTATGTATAAATATATATTTATTTTGGTGGCGGGGAGGGGCGGGGGGCCGAAGGAAAAAAAACAATAGTACATAGATGTCCCGTGGCATGTCGTCTTTTTTTAAAAACATCTACAGGAAAACCAGCTGGTCCTTTTCAGATTCCTCTGTCTCGTGTATGTTCGTGTCAGGTGTGTCTCCAATAACTCTTTTTAAGCTGGTCGATCCACTTTCTTACAGGAACCACCGCTTTAATTACGTTTCTTGATAAATCACTGTGGTATTTGAAATGGTGGAATTAATTAATTTTTTTTCTGAGACATGCTATTGTTTATGATTTAGTTTATTTTGTGTTCGGATTCCGTAGAATGTTACCAAGCGTCCCTTTTTTCTTTCTTTTTTTTTTATTTTTTTTTTTAATTCTGAAGAGTATTTCTGTAGTTTCATGTTCTTTATGCTAACATGGTAGTCCTGTTTTTGTTTTTCTTTTTCTCCCCCACCCCCTCCTCTGAGATATATGTCTCTATGAATTGTAGCTAGAAATATTTTTTTATTTTTTATTATAGTGCAGTGTGGAAATTGCTTGTACTTAAATGCGTTAATGCGCTGATGTTGTTCTTGGTATTTAGGATTAAACTTTATTTTGTATTTCATATAACAATTTAAAGGAATTATTTCTATAGATCGGTTTAACCTTGTCATGTTGTGATATTTTCATCATCACATAGTAAATTATCTTTATATCAGTTTATGGATTTGAAATAGGACTGTGAATATAATGACTCTATGACACTTCATACAACCTTACCTCATCCCAAACGCACACGCACACACATACATACACACACACACACACACACACACTCATATATACAAACACACTTAAAAGACGTTGTAACAGATGCCAGTTAAGGACACTTTTCCACGACTCAAGGGGGGTGTGTGGAGCTTATTGTGCTAGATCTATGTTTTACTGACTAGTCGGCACTCACTGTGTAACATGGTCAACGAAACACCGTCTGCCTTTACTTCCCATGACTTTTTATAGTACCCATTTAAGGCTATGTCGACCTGGAAGCCAAGGTTATTTTCTTTAAAATAAATATCCGGCAGCATTAGGCGTATTTGGATTTGAACCCACGTCCTTCAGATCCACAGGCGAGCGTCTGTCTGCTACACCAAGGCAGCTCTCAGTCACAGCTGTCTGACAACTAACTACGGCATGCACAATTGACTCACGGTTAAGGACTACAGTTATGACTTTCACACAATCAGAAACACACCATAATCATCATGCAGCGGGTCCTTTGCAAAACTTCGCTCTCATATCAAGGTCTGCCTGAAAGAAACTCAGCCTCTCGCCACTTCTCCCACCTCGTGTACTTTCATATTCAAGTGGTCACTTATATCTTTGCCCATCTTCATCTTGATCGGCTCCTGTCCCTCCTTCCTGGTAACATGTTTTCTGCTATTATAAATTTGTTTCCCCATTCCGCTATGGCTCTTGATGCGACCAAAATATTTCAGCATACAAGATACTGGGTGCTTTCTTAATATCCTTCCCCAAACAGGGAAAATCTACAGGTCACGGGACACTCTAATATTTCAGGGGTTGGTAGATGAGCTGAATGCAATCGTATGACCTAGGCTGCAAGCAGTCGTAGAACCTAGGCTGCATTCTCTCGTGGGACGTAGGTGGGTTGGGGTTAGGGCCAGTTCTAGATGTTTTGGGGTCTGTAAAAGCCGGGAAACCCAGACTTATCACCCTCTAAAATGTTGGACTGATCTGTGACATCGTCTGGGGTAGGATATTACCGAAGAACGGATACTGTTTATTAACCAATCTTCCTTTATGTTTCTGCGTGTGCTTGACACATATTTCAGCAGTTCGTGAAGAGAGAGGAGGAGACGACGTAGAAATACTGGAGTGCTCGAGGTTCAGAGAAAAGGCAAGACAGACGTTTGATCAGAATGCTACTGGCACCATTTGTATCAGAACTCTTCGCTGGCTGCTGAAGATGGGGACGGAGCGCTTATGGGAATGCCCCTAGTGCTGTGATGTCAGTTCTTGAATCAACTCAACTCAATCAACTCAACTCATCAACTCAACTCAATCAACTCAACTCCTTGATGTTCAGATCTTGAAAAATGTCAGTATTTCTAATCTTTTTGTCAGCGGTATTCTGAGGAACTTTCTATAGTATTTCAGCTCAGAAGCGTCCATTTTCTTTCCTAAGTACTGGGAGATAGTCCACGACTCACATCTATGTGCTGCTACAGAAAAGATTTAAAAAACAAAATGAAGATCCTTTTTCACGCGTTTAGGCCTATCGGGCTCATGGATGCTCTTCCTTGTACATACCAGTTGGTACAACTGGTACAACATTATATATTTTGTGTACAACCGATTCGAGTTTGGAGACACAACTTGCCAAAAATGTTGGTTATTGCCAATTACTGCCTTTATTATACGACTTTTGGGGTGTAACCTTTGAACCTGACGATTTTCGGCCGCATGGCTAGTGCAGTCGCCACGACTGTGCAGGTGAGGATTTTATTTTGTCCTTGACAAAAGAAATTCCTAGCCTTACTGAGGATTCGAACCTGGGTCTTTTGATTGAGAGCACAGAGTTCTAATCGTTCGGCCATTGTTTGGTTACAATTTGCACAAAGTTAAAGATCATAGGCACAAAGTGCACATCATTGTATATTTGTAGGACAGCGTGCACGCTATTGGAACCAATTTACACAACTTGCGTATAAATTCTAGCACAGCTTGTACGCAGTTAAAGATTCAAAGCACAAATTGCACCACAATTAGAGATTTTTGCACAATTTGCATACAGCTAGAAACGAAAATAGTTGGCATAAGGTACATACAGTTAGAAACTGTTGACATACCGTAACACAATTAGAGCACATCGGACTATTTTGCCCACAATTAGAAATAGTTGGCACAGCTTGCACACAATTCCAGAGTGTTAACACATCTTTAGACATTTAGAGACTGCGATGCAACAAAACAGTTTGGGACTTCTCGGTTCCAGTTCCAGTTTGTTCGAAAAAAAAAAGTTCTAGTCACCCCAGCTCCAAAAGTGAGCGGCAGTTATGTTGGGACTGCGTTTACTTGTTTGGGATTTCCAATAGTTTTTGTGTCCATTGTGGCGTATCCATACGCCCATGTTTCTGCCACCTGACAGTGTAGCCTTATGACATTTCCTTGTTGTGTATCTGGTTGTCCAGCCTGCCGCCGTTGAATGCTCCATGGCACCCACAAGTGACACCATCTCGAAACAAACAAGCTTGCCATCACACAAGGCCCCTCTCGGGGTCCCACATTTAACATCTTTTCGTGCCTTAATTTTTTGCATCTTGCATGTGCATGTGCGTTGGCTTATTATTTTTTTTTTTTCCTTCTTGTTTTTTTTGTTATTTTTTTTTTTTTTTTTTTTCAATTTTTTAGACAAGTTTTCTTTGCATTCCTTTATAGACTGTTGGTACATCCTACATTCACTTGAAGATTGTTGGCATATCTGGCTTTCATTTAAAGACTGTTGGTATATCTTGCTTTCACTTTAAGATTGTTGACATATCTGGCTTTCACTTAGAGACTGTTGGTACATCTTGCTTTTACTTATAGACTGTTTTTACATCTTGCTTGCACTTTGGGATTGTTTGCATATCTGGCTTTCACTTAGAGACTGTTGATACATCTTGCTTTCACTTAGAGATTGTTGGCATATTTTGCTTTCACTGGGAGATTGTTGGCATATCTTGCTTTCACTGAGAGATTGTTGGCATATCTTGCTTTCACTTAGAGATTGTTGGCATATTTTGCTTTCACTTAGAGATTGTTGGCATATTTTGCTTTCACTGGGAGATTGTTGGCATATCTGTCTTTTACTTAGAGACTGTAGGTACATCTTGCTTTCACTTACAGATTGTTGGCATATCTTACATTTATTTAGAGACTGTTGGAACATCCTGCATACATACTGAGACTTTGACACATCTTGCACACACATAGAGACTAATACTGTCTGCACATAGTTATAACCTGCTGACCTAGCTTCAACACAATTAGAGCCTGTTAACACATATTGCACACACAAACAGAGACTGTTTAGATAAAATAAACTTAATCACATAGTACAGTACGTAAGTAAAGGAAGGACTCATATTTCTATAGGCGAATCGACACCCGACAGGTGATGCAATCAACAAAACGCCACAGAATTTGCTTCCCATGACTTTACCTGGTACTCCTTTTAGGCTGGGCCCACCTGGGAACAATAAAATCAGCGACTATGCGAATTCAACGACTAATCAACTCCCTTGTGTATACGATTGTTACCTTTATTTCAGCTGTTATTCTCTCTATATACCCCAGCCATTGCAGTATATTAGAGGTAATATAGATGTATTAATAATGG